GCCCGCGCGAGGACCCCGCGGTGGGCAGACGCGGCCCAGTCGCCGGAAGCCGACTCGGCGCACCTCCGGGAAGGTGGCGCACGTGCCAGCTGGCAGGTGCAAGCCGGTCTCCCTAGGGACACTTAGTGTCCACTCACCGCTCCTGCAGGGAGGGCGGCTGTTCCTTACGCTTCCCATGTTCACAAACTGCTGGGAGATGAAAGGAGGTCCGTGACCGTCCGGACCTCGCCCCCCTAAAGCTCCGCTTCTGCCTACGGGGGCTGGCCGGGGAGGGCGCGTCACCCAGACAGCGCGACAGGGCTACGAGGTGCAGGCGGGCGACAGGCAGGCGAGGAAGGAGGCATCTACCCTGACCGCGGTGGGAGGGACCGCAGCCGCCCACCTGCCCGCTGCGGGACGTCCCCTGCTCACTTCCAGCGCGAGCCAGCGTGCCCGCCACCCCGCCTCCCGCCTGCCTTCAGGCAGGGCACGCCCGAGCACCCTGTGAGCAGCGCGGACCTCTCCCTTCCCCGCCACCTGTCTCGAGAGCTGCCCAGCCCCTGGCTCAGCCTTGCTCTTGGCTCTGGGCCAAGGCTCATGGACAGTGGCTGACAGGGTGGGAATCCTGGGGCGGGGTGGGGCGGGGCCCGCCTGGCTAGGCCTCCTTGGCGACGGTGCCCACCAACTGAAGGGGCATAAAGGCGCCCTCGCAGCAAGGCAGGCTCCCGAGGGCCGCCAGGCCTCCAGCTGTCACGAAGCCGGAGTGCCCGAGGGGAGCGGCACTGTAGCCCGCACTCTGACCTGTCCCTCAGCACGCCCACCCCCCGCCGTGCACGTCTCCCGGCCTGCCCCTCAGTGGCCTCGCCTGCTCGGTGCGCCGCGCTCTCAGCACCAAAACGGGGCCTGGCAGGGAAGAGCCGGCAGACCCTTGCTGACCGGGAGCACGGGCAGCTGCGAACGCTGTGGGGGCGCTGGCCAGGCCACGCCCTCATGGGGACCGGCCGGGAGCCGCCGGGGCTGGCTGCACTGTGCCCCTGTGGGCCGCTACGAGGACTCCAGGAGACGCACGTTTAGCCGAGGCGTGCAGACGCCAGGACTTGAGAGGTCCGTGACGCGGTGAGCTGCCTTCTTCCGAGAGCTGGGTGTGGCCGGGTGCCCTGGGCTCGCTGCCCCTCCTAGCCCGGCCCTCGTGGAAAGTCAGGAGACGCGCAGCGCTCCGGGTGCAGAAGCGTGCACGCCAGGGAAGGGGCGCGGCCTGCGGCCTGCTGGAGACGGCCCGCGAGCGGAGCGGGCGCCCAGGCCCCACCGCCGCTCCCAGCGGAGTCCTCACGCTGGCGGGTTCTGGTTCCCTCTCCTGGCATTCCGGTAGGCTGCTATGGGAGGTGTGTCTTCACACGCCAGAGAGCCCCCGAAGAATGGCAGCCCCGCCTGGAACTGCCCGGCGACATGATGGCGCGACGGAGAGGAAAATAAAAGGGAAGGAGGAAAGGGGCTCCAAGGTGTGGCCACAAAATGGGAGCGTGGGCCCTGTCTGCAGAAGGGCCGTGGCGACCGGCTGAGGGCGGGGCCGGGCAGTTACGCCCAGCGCACCCGGGGCCAGCGCCGTCACCTGTGCCACAGGCTGGAGACCGAGGCACCAGGGGCCCCCGCAGGGGCTCAAGGCCCCAGTGCCAGCCGGAGGCGGCCAGGAGCAGCAGCCCGGCGGGCCACGCCCATGCCGCTCCCTGAGCGACATCCTGCAGTCTAGGGTGACCAGGTGCCTTGGCCCGTGGGATCCAAGGTCAGCGCAGCGCCAGGGTGCTCGCAGGAAGGCTCCTTGGGGCCTGCACATCGGGAGGCCCGAGCCTGGTCCAGGAGCCAAGTGTCTCAGCACAGACATCGGGGGAACAGAGCCTCCGGAAGGCCTGGGCAGTGGCACGGCCAGGCTGGTTCGGAATCACAGTGTGTGTTGAAATAAAACAGCAAGAGAACAGAAACTGATGGCTGGAAAACCAGCCCAGGGCGGGGGGGCAGTGAGGAGCTCACGGGCCGGGGCCTGGGGCTGGGCAGCCAGCAGGTGCACCACCATGCGCGTCACTGCCGCCTCGTTATGTGGCCTGGGCCGGGGCTAGCAAAGCGCCCTCGAAGGGTGAGTAAAATCCGCGTTGCTGGTGGGCAGCGGGCCAGCAGCCACAGGCGCCCTGCAAGGGCGTGTCTGTGCCCCCGGGCACCACTCACAGGCACCAACGCCCAAGTGCCACTCCGTTTGAAGCCCCCACGCCGTCAAGAAACAGAATCGCGTGAGAAAGGGAACCTCCGTGCTTGGCGCGCGGACCCCTGGCCGAGTAAGAGCTGCGTGAAGTGGGAGCAATGCCGTCCTGGCTGCTGGTGGCACCGGAGATCCGGCGTGGAGAGTGCCAGAAGAGTTCCCGCTGGAACAACCTGGACACGGCCGCTGTCCGTGGAGGCCCAGCTCTGGCGCTTGGCACAATCCCCACAACCGCTGCCGGCCGTGGGCACCAGGCCGTCGGGCGCCCTGGGCGGGCACGGATGCCGCACCTCGTGGCATCCCAGTCACTGCGGGGCCCAGGGTGCTGGCAACGTTGCCGGAGCAGGGAAGGAGGCGGACCTGCTCCTGCCATGGAGCACAAGCCGCCGGCCCTCGCCGAGGCTGACCCCAGCACCTGGCCAGCGCTAGCCGCCACCACGCCACCAGCCTGCAGGAGAGGCGCGCTCCCGCACGCCAGGGAGTGTGACCGCCCGACTCCTGCAGTACCAGGGACAGAGACGCCCCCCGCGGCAGCCACGCAGCCAGCGACAGGACACACTAACCGCGACGCTTAAACTTCTGGGGTGACCGAGTGGACCGGATGCTGGAAAACAAGTCGCCACCACTGCTGACATCTCGTCACTGCTGCCTGTGACCCTTAAAATGACCTCAGCCTCTCCCACCCGCCATGCCCAGAGGCGCGGTCAGGGCCGCACCCTGCACCGGCCAGCGTCCAGCCCCGTCTCCACTGCTCCCGTGTGGGCTGACCCTGCTGCGGACGCCAGGCTGTCACGGTGCGACCGAGCGCTGTGGACACTCAGCCCAGACGGCCCACTGAACTGTGACACCCTCTTCACGTGACAGCCCTGAAGAGCTCAACTGTCACGCCGTCGTTTCTCACACTGCGCTGCTGGGCCAGAGCCACATTCTGCCTTTACGAGGTGGTGAGCTACACTTCTAGCAATACATGAGTTATATCAGTAACACAAAGGTGAAAATGAGCATTACCGTCCCCACTAATTTCATCTGCAGATCCAGGTGGCATGCAAAGAGAGGGCAGCGGGAGCGGGAGGGGAGAGAGGGAAAACACACTATTAAAATGACAAGTAAACCGAAGCGTAAGGAAAGCAAACAATCCCCCCAGACCGAAGCCCCCGGCCGCGGGCCGCGGCCACACAGGTGAGGCGCCTCGCGCAGC